GTTTCTCTAAGCCTGTGGAACCAAAACACGCATATGATCAACAAGTAAGCAAAGGTTACCTTTTAGTGAAAACCACATGACAAAATCCATAAGATATAGGTAACTTATGTTATGTGAAATTATTACTAATATAGTAATTGAGCAGCCTGCCTACTTATCGGACCTTTTACCATGATATGAATGACCAGTAGAGAAACCCAGGAATGGCAGGGGTGAGACTAAGCTCAATTTTAAGTAGGGATGCACCAATACTGTTTTTGGCATCGAGTGTATGTGTATATATCTATGTAGATATATAGATCTATATAGATAGATAGATATAGATATATATTCTATCTATCTAGAGACTGTCACAGGTCGGCTCAGTAGATCGAGAGGTGAGCAAACATATACCGGCGTTCGCTCACGGCTCTCTGCTGTATTCTCCCCGCCCTGATCCGCCAGCGCTGACTGGCGGAACGGACGGGGGAGGGGGCGGGTACAGCTGGCTCTGCCTCTAGATAGGCAAAGCCAGCTGTCACTCGCTCAGCTGGGCGGATCTCGACATCGATGTCTGGATCCACTCCGGCTGCGCCGTTTCAGTATACCGCAAGCTGTAGCTCGTGGTATACTGAGCTTAGGGTGACGGGAGGACGCTAGTTTGTGTCCTCCCGTTACCCTAAGGAGAACTATGGGAAAAAGCCCTGACCCCATAGTTCTCCTTTTTCATATCACTAATAAACACTGCACTGTTTGCCACTACTCCCCTGGATTTGGTATCTGTGCCCAAGAGACTGCTTATTCCCAGGGGGCTTATGTGCCAGCTACCGATCGCCTGCTCACAATATATATATTTTTTCTGTACTCACTGATACTGAAATCCCGAGGTAGTGTGGGCCCGGCTATTCAGGAAGCCTGCGTTCTATCACACCGGCTTTACGCGCCCTCGCGACACAGAGAGGCAGTCCTGGTTTTCTTACCAATCAGATATGTTTTTTTTCCCATTCAGTTTAAACCAGAGCTGGGCATTTTACAGCCTGTGGGGTATCTCCGGCCCTTTGTCTGCCCCTTTCCAGCCTGCAGTCTGGACACAGACTGATCGCTGACCTGCAATCAGTTATGGCTGACTTCAGTTGTTGGTTGTTAGGACTGCTAGTGTCCTAGCAACCACTTATGTCCGGGGTCCTCCTCTGCAGTCATGGGCTGCTAGGACCACTGGGCAGTCCTAGCAACTATGGATGTCCATTGTGTTTCTGTCCCCAGCATTACAGGAGAATGGAAAAGAATCCTCTTTCGTCCTCTCCTGCAGGTCTGGTCTCTGGCTTATCGAGATAAAAGAAAAGTAATGTGCCGCATAGCATGTGGGGACAAGAAGGCTTCGTTCAGGCTTCATTCAGGGCCCGTTCATATTTATGCCGTGTGTTAATCGCATGGTATTGTGCAGAGCTGGAGCTAACTATTAATTTCAAAATAGATTAGTTAGCCAATTATTAAGTTTGATTAATCAGATATGAAATACATTTTAAAAAATGGCTCCAGTGTTGGGACTACTAGCTTGTTTTGAGATTGCAGTCCATCACAGGAGCAAGCTTGGAGCGGTGGAAGTAAAAAAGAAAAAAAGTGTGGTATGCAATATGGAGAAATGGAAAGTGTAAAATTATACAGCAAATACAGCAAAATTATGAATGCAGAATGGCACTGGCTATAGAGGACTACAAAACCCAGCAATAGTACATTATACAGCACAATGCAGAATACCACCAGCTATAGAGGAATACAACAAATCGCAGCAATGGTACATTATAGCTAGCGGTATTCTGCATTGCGCTGTATAATGTACTATTACTGGGTTTTGTAGTCCTATAGCTGGTGGTATTTTGCATTGCACCACTGTATAATGCATTATTGCTGGCATTTGTTGTACTCCTCTATAGTGGGTGGTATTCTACATTGCGCTGTATAATGTATTTTTGCTGGGATTTGTAGTCCTCTATACAGCAGAATACCACCAGCTATAGAGGAATACAACAAATCCCAGCAATACATTATACATATAGTGTATAATGTATTGCTGGGATTTGTATTCCTCCAGGGCCGGTGCTAGGATTTTAGTCAAGGTGGGCAAGGTGCAATTTTGCGCGCCGACCCCTGTAAAACAGGGCATTTTGACAAGTACTGGTACTTGTCAAAATGCCCCGATGTTTGCACTATGGTTTTTTTTTTTCCCACTTACCTTCGGCGGGAGAGAGCAGCGGCAACTAACCCTGCAGCGCCGTAAGGCGCCCGCCTTACTTGCCTTGCGCTAGCGCCGGGCCTGTATTCCTCTATAGTTGATAGCACATTGCTCTGTATAATATAGAGCACTAGGGGGTAGTTGCGGCGCGCAGCGTGTGTGGAGCCGTGACCAGGGCCAACTAATGGGAAGCCAATTAATGGAAAACTTTTTCACTAATCGATTATAATTGATTTAGTCGATTAGTTGTTGCAGCCCTAGTATTGTGCAATGCATCTACCGTGCGTTACAATGCAGTAGGTGCATTGTGTTGCATGCACTACTTTTTTGAACCGTAACGCAGGCTATTGTGGTACCATGTGTTGTGGACTGGTTGATCGCATTGTGGTCAGGCGGTGCATTTAGGATGCCATTCAAATGGCAATGCAATGTACCTGCCGCACTTTAATGCACGGTAGGTGGGTTGCGCAGTACCATGCATTAATCGGTTAATTTCTCATGTAGCTCCTTGAGAAATGTAATTGTGCACCCCTGGTTTAAGCTATTACTATCTTTAGGATCTACTGATCATTATGATATGCAGTTTTCACATAAGGTAACCTCCTCTGCTTATGCATAGCGATGGGCCGAACACCCCCTGTTCGGTTCGAATTCAAAATTTAGAACATGGGAAAAAAGGTCGGGCTAGAACTTTGAAAATCAATTGACCCCATTTTAAAGGCATATATTCAATTTTATTTGCCATTAAAAAGGGTATAGTGATTCGGGTACTGCCCTGGGGGACATGTATCAATGAAAAAAAAAACTTTGAAAGTAGCAGTGTTTAACATCAGTTAACGTGAAACGATGAAAATAAAAAATTCCTTTTAAATATCGTGCCTGGGGGGTCCCCTTAAACTGCCTGTAAAGTGGCACATCTGTACAATGTATAGAACCTGCTGCAGCAAAAATGACATTTGTAACAAACAAAATTACATTTAAAAAGAAGAAAAAAAAAACAGCATGCAGATCCCCTCCCAAACAATACCAGACACTTTAGGTCTAGTAAAAATGTTAGGAGGGACCCTGTTTAACCCCTTCATGACTGAGGCCCTTTTTTCATTTTTTGCACCCATGTTATATTCCAAATCGCTTCTGTTGTAAAGCCGACAGTCGGCTCTACAAGTTTAAACAGAGTCCCGGCGGCAAAAGTCGCCGGGAGTCTGTTTAAACAGCCCCGATGCTGGCGACGTACACTGTACGTCGTCATTCACGAAGGGGTTAAAAAATAAAAGCATGGGGTCTGGTAGGAATTTTAAGAAGCAATTTTAAGAAGGAAAAAACATGGGCCCCCCCAATTGTGGGGGTGCGGGCAGGGGGCTTATTCACATCAGGGTACCCCTTTATTAAAGGGGCTCCCAGATGTGGCCCCCACCCCTTGTGAATGAGTAAGGGGTACTTGTACCTCTACCCATTCACTGAAGGGTTAAATAAAAGGACCAAACTTTAATCAAATATCCTTTATTTGAAAAGAAAAACACAACAAAGGATTTTTGACAGGTCCTTTTATTTTAAAAACCCCCCAAAAGAATGGATCCACTGACGTAGTCCAGGGTCAATCACGACGACTCGGCGAAATAAAACATTAAATAATTTTTAAAAAACAACGCCCGCCGTCCTGTCCGCTTGCGACGAACTCCCGCCGCAGAATGGCATTTAAACATGCCAGCAACATATACACAATTGGGCGGAGTTAGCGGTGACGGCTAGCTTCGCCCAACTGTTTACAATTGTATGCCATCTGACAGGTGAGCCATGATTGGGCAAAGTCTTGCACCTGACCTTTGGTACGTGCAAGGCTGTAGCCAATCAGGGCTCACCAGCGGTGCACGGTGCCTTGTGGGGAGTTCGGCGGCCGAACAACCCGCCTAACACCCTGACAGTTCGCGTGTTCGCCGAACACACAAACTACCGATGTTAGAGTCGAACTCATCCCTACTTATGCACTACTTTCATGATATGAATGCACGTTGTGGTAACACATGCCTTTTGCCGCAACATAGTGGTGTGAATAGGTCCGAAGACCTTTCCAACCTATGTTCTAAGACTCTGGAGAATGTGCTTTGATCTGGATTAATGTGTTTGAGCCTCTGACATTATAAACAATGCTTGTCAGTGTTCTGATGCTGCTTGTTAAGAGGGGTGTGTCATATTTTGATGTTATGCCACTATTACGATTTTAGGATGTCTGCATAAAATTTGTTATTAATGAAAGGATCCTCCTAGCAATCTGAATTAAGTTTCTGTTTTCACATTGTATTAACTGTTACTAATTGTCAATTTTGTTTCCGCTCTGTACAGATTGGCTTGAAACCACTGGTCCCGGCATTTCTTACCCTCCCCCCAGTAACTTCCTGTACACTTTCACCTAGTACTGCAAACTCCACAGATAACTTTAATTTCCACACTCAAATGTAATGTGACTAAATGCGAAAAAATTACTTCTTGAGTCCGTAGAATTTCAAACGCCATATAAAGCATGCTACAAATATGTTGATTTTGAAGAAACCTCCATTTTCTGCTATATGCAGCCTGATGGACATATACAGTCTGTTAGACTTATAAATAGCATGATATATTTACAAGTAGCCTTTCTTTATATACAGGACCCTGCTTGTCATCCATAGAGCCTGTTTTTTCTTTTTGCATGTGACCAAACAACCTAATTATGCTTACCCACGTGTAACATATACATCGTTCCACCAAGCACAACCCTTTTATGACACCACCACCCTTGCAAAGATTGGAGATTTGGGACATCAGGGACAGCTATTGTGCCTCTGTAATTACTATCTATCCACCATCATGTCTCACGGAGAATCACCACCTCTGCTGCTATGGATAGAAGACATGTGTTTTATGATGTTTCTGAGGGCACGGAGACTACTTCTGCAGACTGGAATATTATTTTGTATCCTGTTCCTGCTTCTCTGGGTGTCTGTGTTTTTATATGGCAGCTTCTACTATTCTTACATGCCAACTGTTAAATACTCCAGCCCAGTGCACTACGGGTATAGGTAAGTTTGTACTTGTTTGCAGTCTTCTCTTAATTTAAAGCTTGTGTACAGGTTGATATTACAGACAAATGAATGCAGTCCTGTCATTTAATACATTAAATGTACGAGGTGTGATAAAGAAATACAGTTCATGCTGCTGGCGAGTGCCATCCAACGGAAAGGCAGGAATCTTCCATACGATAAGGGGCGCCCTTGAACCTTGGTAACCATTCGGTGCAGTCAAGTCGGTTGTGAGCAACTGTTAAAAGAAGGTGCGTGCTATAAATCATGGATCACGAACAACGCATTAACATGAAATTTTGCTTGAAACTGCAAAAAAAGTGCTAAAGAGACACATGAAATGTTAAAATTAGTTTATGGGGATGCTGCAGTGACCATGAAGACGGTTAACAAGAGGTTAGAGTGATTTCTTAATGGTTGTGAATCGGTTGAAGACAAGGAGAGATCAGGATGTCCTTCAACATCAAAAACCCAAGAGAATGTTTTGCTGAGTTTGCACCCAGGAACACTAAGGTGAACTCTGGATATTATAAGAAATTATGTGCATAGAAAATGGCCTGAGAAATGGGCAAACGGTTTCATCCTCCATCATGACAATGCTCTGTGTCACACATCGCTTCTGGTACAGCAATTTCTGTCAAAAACATTATGGTGTGTCCTCATCCACCTTATTCACTAGATCTGGCACCGTGCAACTTCTGGCTCTTCCACAAAGTCAAAATGACCGTTTTGGATTGATTCAGGGCTTTGGGGCAGCCACAACAACGCAACTAAAGACACGAAAAAGTACTTCCAGAAATGCTCTAGTGGCAAGAACGATGGGATGAGTGTGTTTGAAGTGAGGGGGAGTATTGCGAGGTGGATTAATGGCAATGTGTCTTTTTTTACTGTAATTCATTTTTTTATTTAAACATTCACCGTATTTTTTTGATCACACCTCGCATTGATCACACCTGAATTTGACTTGGCCCCAGTCTCTAAGTCTGCTGTGCAGTCTGCACAGGAGAGCTTAGAGGTAAACGGGGAGGCAAATTGAGACAATCCTTTCTTTCTCACACACAAAAAAAAAAAATCCTGGGCAAGTGTCAGCACAAAGCAGATTTTCATAGCCACCAATCATATTCATACCTGCCTTGGTTGTATGAATTTGATTGGTTATACAAGGAACAAATCGAGAGGAGCAGGTACATTGGTTTCATACGAAAGAAGCTCTGCGTAATCTGGTTGTGGTAGATTACAAAAAAGTGAATGGTCTTTTTGATTTTGGCACAGATGCACTGTTTGCTGGACAGCATTAGCAGTTCACTGACTGATTTCCCTTTCTGCCTGAAATTGCTCATTAATCTTCTGAAAAGACTGACAAGACAGCCGATGTCTCTTTCCTCTATCAGCATTAATCTGTTACATTTTTGTATCCTATCTGCTATTTTTTTAGCTTTGGATAGAGTAGAAAATGGCTAAAACCTGTCATTTATCAATCTGTTTCCTGTGGGGGAGATTTACCTCAACTTCCTGTTCCAGGACCACAACAGAAAGTGAGAGAAACTCGGTTTAACGTGAGGAGCAATCCCCTTTACTAGTTGTCAATGGAACAGGTGCCCCCCTTGGAAAATCTCCTTCCTATTTCTGTTTGTGACAACTGTAAAATCTTGGATTTTCCATCACTTTTTATGTTTTTATGACCATGTTCATCCGAGCAAATAGAGAGAGAGAATTACAAAATCAAACCATGTGTTGGCTAAAGATAAACTTTTAATACTTTTGCAGTCAAATTTGAGAAAACCCCTTTATATGTTTGTTCCCATTCACACAGCATAATACATTTAAAAAAAACCAAAACTATTTCTTACCTTTTTGGCTGTTTTGCTGCAGCAGGCAACATGGCTTATTCAAGGTTTTTCTCAGCACCTTCACAGTGATGTGGCCTTGTAGCAAGAATTGGGACTGAAATTTGAGGATTGCTTTTCTCTTAACTGCATTAACCTTTAGTATGCAGAAGCGAGAGCTGTACACCCTTAGCCCCTCACCCCTTACAACCCCTGCTAACATTACAAAGAAGGAAAAACCAGTACAAATCTTAACCCTTAGGAAGCCAAGAAACCCTAACCCTAAAAGCAAATCAAACTGCAAGAAGCATTTAAAAAAAACCTTTTAGGATTGTGTTTATGAATGGAAACATGTAACAAATATAAAATAGGTGTTGCCCCAATTTGGCTGCGGAAATACAATTTTTAAATAACCTTTTTGTTCTTTATAAGAACCTGAAGTTGGGTATACACGTTTCTATATTTGTTCAAACTACCTGCTGAATGAAGAAAATATAACAGATTCCTCTATTAATGCTTGTGAGCGTTGATCGAGGAATCTCCCGCTGTTTACAATCTATCCTGACAGCAGCCGCCGGTGAGTATCTTATTGGCTGCTCACTGTGTGCGGCCGAGAATTTTCTGACATGCTTCTTTGATCAGCTGATCGAGGGATGCCAGTCGGAAACGTGCCGATAGTTACACCCAGACTTTGAATTTTGTCAGATTCATCAAGAACTAAAACTTACAAGTGTGTGTGTGTGTGTGTGTGTGTGTGTGTGTTAGTTACAGAGAAGGGCAAGTAATGAACAGAAATATGGGGAATATGGGGATTATACTCCGTTCCATATGGTTTGCATGTACCTCTCCAAAGATGGCCACAAATTTGCAGCTTGCCTATTTAAATAAAACACAATTCAGCAGGGAACCAGTGTTTCATTTACTTGTGTATCTTTCACTTCTTCAGCTCTATCTGTGAACCACCACCTGGAATCCTGTGCTCGTTCCCAACAGCCAATGTGTCTCTTCTGAGAAATAATCGTGATCGGGTGAGAAGAGCTGTCGTATGTTCTATAATATGTACAAGTTCTAGCTGTGTAGATCACGCTTTCCTGTGTTTCCTCCCATGTACTCTGTTTAGCAAACTTTATGCTATGTGCAGATTTTATGGAATATGCTCCTTGTTTCTGTTGGTGTACATACAATATAAGGTTATGATTGATATGTGTATACTGTAGTAGATATTAACAGACCTGTTTCCCTACTTGTAGGTGCTGATGTATGGACAGCCCTATCGCATTACCCTGGAGCTCCAGGTTCCGGAGTCCACAGCTAATCAGGATCTTGGGATGTTCATGGTCTCGATGTCATGTTACACTCGAGGGGGAAAACAGATTTCTTACACTGCTCGATCAGTCAGTTACTATCAGTTACATTATTCCCTTAAACATATTTTTTAAAATTAATTTATTTTGTCAAGCTAGGATATGGTGTGGTGATGAAGCCGTAAAAAGAGGTGCATGTGTGCCAGGAAAACAGAATGTCACAAGAGCTTGGGTATTTCAACCAGAGTGAGCCAAACGAGTTCATCGAACCCAAAGTGGTACTTTAATTATTCTGCAAATGACAACAGGATGAAAACATAAGGCATCACACATGTTTCGGGGGTTCTGCAGTCCCCACTTTATCAGGGCTTTAAAAAATCAAATAGATATCAGTTGAACCCAGAGCAAAACTCCTGGAAAATTCAGTCCAAACCAGGAAAATGGTATTTAAGAAAGAACCCTGTGTCAGCAGCAGAACCTTCTTTTGTTGAAATGCTTATTTACTTTTTATATAGGGTGTCCTCTGTAATTTTGAGAGGGCTCTCTGTTTTGTGGAGAGCTGCCAGGCTTTATAAGGACTTCTCTCATTATATATTGGGGTTCTGTATCCAGCACCTCATCTTTATTTCTCCTTTGGACAAGATCTTGGGTGATGGTGAGCTGATGGGCCTTAGAGTAGCCACATTAGTGGTAGACTGTGGGTGTAGAGCTTATGTTGTCAAGCTGTAGATGGCTGGTGTCCTACTGGCCAAATTGTCCTCCTGTGACACCGAAGCGATGGACCTGTCTTTTTGGCTAAGATGTAATTATCTGTTCTTATCAGTGTTCATGAGGGACAAATTGTGCCACTGTTCTGGCCTTCTGGCTGGCTGCAGCGTACCTTGCCTGAGATGGTGAGGGTCCAAAGGGTTCTGGTCGTGGGAAGGAAACCGAATGGATCCAACACGTATGTAAGGGTGGGGTCAAGGGTATTTTCCTGGTGTCCAGGATCTGGCAGGGCCCAGTGCCTCCCAATTTGAACGGGTCTACCTGATCTGGTCATGGGCTGGGAAGACAGGAAACCTGCGGTGTCAAACACCCCCTGGGAGTGGCACCCTGGGGGTGCTAGAGTAGCGCTATGGATTTGGGACCCCGCTGTGTGGAAGGCACCCCGAACGAGTACTTGGTGGTCGGCTTCTGTTGACCATGAGGAACATGTTCTGCCTCACCAGGTGGACACAAGTCCCTTGCCCCTGTCCGGAGCCTTGCACCCCCGGAGAAGGTGGGGTCAGGGAAGGGCCCTATCTCTTCGGGAGATAGACCAGTTGACTCATCCTAGTGCACTTTTTTTGTGTGTGGTCACATGTACATGCCAAACGGGCTTAAAAAAAAAAAAAAGAACCTATCCGACGATAAATGTCACTGCAGAATCTGGGACTGCCGAGCATTGCATTGACTTTACACTTGTTCCTTGTAGATCCTTGTAAAATCCCGCCTGCAGTTGCTTTTTTCAGACATTAAATCGTTAGAGTAGCTAGATTGTCATAAGTTAGAAGAAATTCCAGTATATAACTCCTGCGCTTTACCTGAAATGGCCACGGTATTTACTTATTTAAGTCAAGTCCATGCCTTTTCAATGGCTTGTTGGAACCTGGCTTAATGTGATCATATTGTTTGTTTGTTTCTTTCCAGGCAATGCTGCACTACAAGTCTCCCCTCCTGAAGTTATTAGAGACTCTGACCACATTGCCCCTACTGCTGTCTGGGATGTCTGAACAGAAGCAGGCTATTGAAGTGGAGCTGTACTCTGAATATCGGGAGGATTCGGTTAGTCATTTTCTGTGACCACCAGTTTTTTTCCCCTTAGTATTTCACTGACCACCTTCTGCGTTATACCTTTTTATACAGTTCACTAAAAACATCTAATTCAGGGGTAGGCAACCTCAGCACTTCAGCTGTAGGGAAACTACAAATCCCATTATGCCTCAGAGAATCATGCCTGTGGCTGCCAGTTTTGCAATGCCCCATGGAACAGTCAGCAAAGGCAACTTTAATATAAGTTTAATTTTTTTTATTTTTGTGACTCAGTTCTCTAGTCCTAAGTAGCAATGAACTAGTATACAACACAGCCCTGATTATATCTAAGATGTGTTATTTGCTTTGGGATGGTGTGTTTTGCAGATAAGCTGATGTATATGTAAAGTTGTCCTACAGTATTGGAAGAAAGGAAGTGGAGGGCTCTGGATGTATTGGCAACTTGATTAGCAGGAAGTAGATAAATGGTCATATCTAGCCTTTTTTCTAGGTGTGCCTCTATGCACAATTGTAAGAGCCTTCTTCCTGAGTGTGAATTGGAAGGGCCTGCCTGCTTTAATCAGAGTTCCAGTGTTTTATAAAGGAAAAAGTACTGGAGAAAGCAGCGAGCAAATCTAGCAGGAGTAAATATTTCTGGAGGTGCATGGTACACAGTGTAGGGAATGTCCATGGTTAGAAGGAATTGGCATTTGAATTCTTGATGTTTTAGAAAGTCAGGTGGCTGCAGAATAAAACAGATAATTTTACAAACAAGTAAATACAAAATGAATTGTGTAGCAAAGTTGGCCTTTGCTGACCATATATAAACATTGGTAGGGCCAGGGCTGCATTGGCGCAAAACACTTTTCCCATATAATATCTGCGAAGATTTATAGCTGTGTGCTCATGTCAAATGGCTGTATTGTGTTTAGAAATTCAAGTGAGAAACTTTCACATTTTCAGGCAGTGAACCTGATGACTGAGGGGGACATAGTGCCTTTAATAGATTGAAGTATATGTAAGGCCCAAACTTTTTTATTTTTTAAAGTTTTGAATAGAGTAGGGAATGCATAAAAAACAAAACTTGTCAGTTTTTTTTCTTTGCCGACCGTGTCCCTTTGGAAAGAATTACCTTTTACTTCCTGTCCCATAAAACACTTTAAGGAGAAGGGAAAACTCCAATTCGGCAACCCTCCCATGCTTCAAGTGACAACACAACATTTTTGGATTTCTCTCACTTTCAGTCTTAGTGTCAGTGGTCACCAGGACACCTTGAGAGGGGTAAACCTCCCTATTTGGGACACCAACGACAATAAAAACCTGACAGTTCTAACCCATTCTTACTCTAGCTGAAACTAGAAAATAATACTTTTGACTTTAGATCATTATACCTTTCAGTAGCAGAGCGATTTTAATTGTCTAGATGACCCCTCTCACCCACTACCCTGTTCTTATTTGTTCAAAACTCTCTTGTTCCTCCTTTTCACTCTGGCTTTTTTTTTTCTGCAGTATGTCCCAACCACAGGGGCAGTGATACAAATACAGAGCGTCCGCTTACAGATATACAATGCAGAGCTCCGCGTACATGCACACTTTACTGGACTCAGGTGAGACATAAGTATAGATCAGCCAACTGGCCATATCCCAGATGCCTTTAAAAAGGTTAGTCCTCTAAAAGAGATATTTCAGCCACGGACAGAGCCTACAGGAATGAGTCCACCCAGCTTCTTATATCCTTTGAGGACATCGTGGAGAGATCTCTCTGGCATAGGTCCTGGTTCTGTTCACAGCCAACCTGGAATATAAAGTGTTCCCAATTCTTTTTTTGCATTCTGCACAGTAGTCTTAGTTTAGAAAGCTTTAACACAAGGATCAATATATTTACTTTTGGCATGCAACTAATTTTCAAATCTCTGAGAAAAAAATATTTTTGAAATTTAAAGATTCTTATCTTTGTGTGTTGGTTTGGAAATTTAGGTTAATATATTTACAAATCCAACAAAAAGAGTAGAACGGCCTCCTAATGACCTTGGAAGGTACAGATGTGGAATGCACCTAGAGAGATCTCGCCACTAGTGTCTCTGAACCACCATATTGTTTGAATGAGGTGGGTGCCTTTTCTTTAGAACAGTTTGAGGACTATAACCTGTTTCGTTTCCCCCAAAGGAGCTGTATTTGTTCGTGAGATCCTGTGCATTAATTCTTCAGATGAGATGTATAGATATGATCTATATCTCACACACACCGATCAGCCATAACATTATGACCACTGAGAGGTGAAGTGAATAATATAGTTATTATCTTGTTACAATGGCACCTGGAAGTGGGTGGGATATATCAGGCAGCAAGTGAACATTTTGTCACTGAAGTTGATGTGTTGGAAGCAGAAGAAATGGGCAAGTGTAAGGATTTGAGTGACTTCAACAAGGGCCAAATTGTGATGGATAGACGACTAGGTCAGAGCAACTCCAAAACTGCAGCTCTTGTGGGATGTTCCCGGACTGCAGTGGTCAGTACCTACTCATTGTGGTCCAGGGAAGGAAAACCAGTGAAAGGGTCATGGGGGGGCCAAGGCTCATCGATTGCATGTGGGGAGCAAAAAATAGCCCTTGTAGTTCGATCCATTAGAAGAGCTACTATAGCTTAAATTGCTGGAAATGTTAATTCTGGTTCCGATAGAAAGGTGTCTGAACACACAGTACATCGGTCAGGGGGGCCATGCTGACCCATGTCCACTGCCAAAAGTGTCTACAATGGGCACGTGAGCATCAGAACTGGTACATGGAGCAATGGAAGAAGGTGGCCTGGCTTGATGAGTAACGTTTTTTTTAAACATCATGTGGATGGCCGGGTGCATGTGTGTCGCTTACCTGGAGAAGATATGGCACCAGGATGCACTATGGGAAGAAGGCAAGCCGGCGGAGGCAGTCTGATGCTTTGGGCAATATTCTGCTGGGAAAACCTTGGTCCTGCCATTCAGGTGGATGTTACTTTGACATATACCACCTACGTAAACGTTGTTGCTGACCAAGTATACCACTTCATGGAAATGGTTTTCCCTGATGGTAGTAGCCTCTTTCAGCAGGAAAATACGTTTGAGGAACTCCAAAGAATTTGAGGTTTTGACTTGACCTTCAAATTCTTCAGATCTCAGTCCAATCGAGCATCTATGGGATGTGCTGGAAAAACAACTCCAATTCATGGAGGGCCCACCTAGCAACTTACAGGATCTGCTACTGACGACTTTGTGCCAGATACCACAGCATACCTTCAGAGATCTAGTGGAGTCCATGCCTTGAAGGGTCAGGGTTGTTTTGGTAGCAAAAGGGGGACCTACTCAATATTAGGCAGGTGGTCATAATGTTATGACTGATGGATGTATGTCTGTGGCATTTCTCCTGTGTACTTGTGGTTTCTTTGATGCCATTTATACTCGTGATAGATGCTTAGACTCTTGCATGTTTTAGCAAAGCTTGTTTTTTTTAATTAGTTTCTTTCTTCCGAAAGGGAAGTTCCCCTCATTTGATGTAGTATTCCAGAGATGTGGCTTCATTCTTTTATTTTTTATTTAGTGAAGTATCCAGGCATGAAATAAAGAAAGCAGCTTGTAGCAGCTGCTGTGTAAGCAGCACATTAAGCTCCTGGCAGGTTAGCTGAAACAAAAAAGTCATTTTAAAATAAAGTAATAAAAATGTTTTTAACCTATTGCTAGATACACTATAAATCTTTTTAGTATCTACCAAAAACGGAAAAATGGGTTTTCCCCTTTTAATGCTAGATACACATTCAATCTAAACCTGACTGGGCTCCATTTTTTTTTTGTTTTTTTGTTCCCCCCCCCAAGAACAAGTGGACAAGAAGTATAATTGCTTTTATGGTGACACCACACACAGGCATGATGACCTTGCCTGAGACTGCAGATGACAGCAGGGATCTTTTTCTGAAAACCCATATTGAACACCTCCATACTTCCTGTATACCTGTCAGCATTTTATTCTCGTATTGTGCTTTTACTATAGTCTCAACTTTAAAATTATTGAAAGGTTAATAGGAATCCCTCTTTGGGTCCACACTTTGGCTCTACACCTTGTGCTTTTACGTTTTAAATTTAATATTGAATTTGCATATATTTGAAGGTTTTAGCACAGCAGTTTGAAATTCATCAGTGTTTTGTGGTTTTTGTAACAGTCATTTCAATTCGCTGGCATTCTATAGGAATATTTCAATGATTAGCCTCACAACTGTGTCCATAGCATGTTTTACTTCGTTGTTGTTAGCCATGTTATGACATCTTAGTATTTTGTTACAGGTACCTCTTGTATAATTTCCCAGTCATGTCTGCTGTGATCGGCATTTCCAGCAACTTCATCTTCATGAGCGTCTTGGTTTTGCTCAGCTATCTGCAGTGGGGTTTTGGGAGATCTCGTATGAGGGTGAGTAGTGGTAAAAGGAGATGTGTAACCAGTGTTTCACAGGATACATGCAAAGTGATCACAGCTATTAAATCTGAGAATGGGGCCACAGGCTTATAGGAAGCAAAGAAGCAGTTCTGATGTGATCTAAAACCCGTCGACACAGATCTTTATGATGCTAAGGGGGTGGAATCCTTCTATAACTATATAATACAATACACTCCAGATGAATTGTAACAGTATCAACACCATCTTCTGACATCAGATCATTCTGTGTACACTGAGCATGGTAATAATTCCTGACAAATATTGGCCATGGTAAGCTGCTTCCATAAAGGTCATAACACCACTTACTTAGTGTGGCTTTTTATTCCACTTAGAGTCTAGTTTTCTTTTAATTCAGGCCAATCAGTGGTGGGTCAGCCTGCATCCATCTGTTAGTGTCTGTGTTTATCATTGTCTGTCTTCATCACAATGTGATCTGTTCATCATTCTCTGTCTGATTTATATCTGCCAGCTTATGTGAGTTTGTGTATTATAAATGACTAACATACCACTCAGCACTAAATTATGGCTCTTAGAAAATAAGCTCTGGGTTCTGTGAGCTTTAAAGATTCCTTAGGCCTGTAGCATTGGTTCACTTATTTCATTTAATTCTTAGTTGAATACTAATATATTTATCATGTAGCATCAGGTACATTATGCCATACATAAGACCCATAGGGATCTATTTTATATATTTTATTTTTTCGCACAAGATGCCCAGGATGCACATATTTTTCCTGTTGAATCTAATTGGGATCCAGTTGGAATAGAAAGCTGCAGGGTTCTTGTGTGGAAAGCATTTATACATTGACCCCTTAAAAACTGAAATGTATTTTGTGTTATAAAGAAGGTCCACCAGTTCCGGTGTTGAGGCTCTATGCATTCTCACGCACTGGACAAAACAGTATCCAATTCCAAGCCATCACAGTTCTGATGCCTGTTCTCCCTTAGTAAGCCCTGATGAAGGGGGTATTTGCATGAGCTCCATAAATGCGTTGGCTATTTTTGTACTCTACCCTCAACCCTACATTTAATAATGATGTATCTGGACTATTAAACTGAGTGTGTTGCTGCAATTGACAATTCTGCAATTTTATTGGTTTTGACTTTTCCTGCAGGTTGACCCAGGGCAAAGCAGTACGGAAACGGGGACAGCGGTGATTCAAGGACGGAGTTTCCTTGAAGCGGGTAAGATATCTAGTCTGAAGATGCTGTATGCTGTGACTTGTCTGGTCTGTACCTGCATTGTCCTGTTATAGAAATCAGTGGTATTTAAATGAAAATTGGTGTTTTAAAGGAAGGTTTTAAGCAAAAGAGAAAACTTCAGAGATATTACCCTGTGAAGATAGGTTTCCTACTACAGATAAATGCAGCAAATGTGACGCGTCTTCAGCAGTGAGTGGCAAATGATCAGCGATGCAGTGATGCCCTGCTCTATAATAAGACCCCTATGTGTAGCTCTTTATATCAGAAGTTTAGTTAAATGGTTATACAGCACCAGGAACATAACTTACCTCTAATGAAGAAGTGTATCCTACATTCTGCTGGTTACTGTTTCCTGTAGAAACCCTCCTTTTAGTGATGCTGAGCTCTCTTCACAGCGGTGAACTTTCTGGGCTGTCTGAGTTTACTTCTGCTGTAATAGTGAGGGAATCCGCACTGGTTACCATTGCCTTCCACACCCCTTACCAATTCCTAGATTTCCTTGCATTCTTTTCACAGTATATAAAGCATTCTACAAGTGGAAGATGGGATCCCCATCCTCCATTTACAGAATGCTTTGCATTCTCTGAAAATAGTGCAAGGAATTCTGTAAATGGGTAATAGGGGCGGAAGGGGGCGGTAAGCAGCGCCGATTCCTTCACTTTTACAGCAGAAAGTTATCTAATGCAGTGCTGAAAGTTCACTGCTGTGAAGAGCATCCAGGATCACTAAAAGCAGAATTTGTACAGGTGCCTAGGACAGACTTCATGAGAGGTTAAGCTACAATTTGTCCCTGCTGCGAAAAAAAAATTTAAGTAATCTTCAGCTTTAACCAGTTAAAGACTTTGGGCATTTCAGGCATGCGCAAAAAAACTCTGCTAAAATCCTCGGCTTTACACCCAGGGTTTTCTGTCCCCATCACGACTGCTTGGACAGTGTAAAAACCAGCAACTGACTGACAACCAGGGAATGCTCTGATTGACTCCTGTGTAAATAAAGCCTGCAAACAGTTTTTGATCTACATCATTATTATTATTATTATTTTTCTGATTTGGATTTTGCTGTTTTTATTTTATTTATTTTGCTATCATCTATGTGAATTGTTTAAGTTTTTTTTGTTTATTTTTCTAGCATTGCACAAAAAAACCCCAAAAAATAAAAACCTTAATTTCATATGTAAATAAGTTTGCCACATTTTGTACCATAAACCATTATTTTAGTGTAATTATTAATTGGGCAAATTGCAGACAAAATTTTTTTCTTTTATTTACATAAAACTAGTTGCTTTAAAACAAGGAAATAAAATAATTGTTGCAAGACATTACTGGCAAAAGCTGGATCTTGTTTAGATTACGTTGGTATCATAAGTAATGACACAATTATTGCAGAATCAATAGGCCTATAGCTGAAATGCAAAAAAATGTATCTTTTCCATGTATTCAGGGGCAGAATCTGGTTTAATATGCGGTCAGTTAAGGGCAGTGTAATATGTGATAAGGTCCCTAGGTGGCAGGATCATCCTTTTTGTTTCATCAGTCTTGATATACTTGTCACTTATTTTAAAGTTTATATAAACGCATGTTTTCATTTTGGATAGAGCAGAGAAGGGTTATTTTAATTGTGATCTGTGCCCTCATTGGGGAGATTTCTCCCTCTTTGTCCTGGTGAGTTATCATCCAAGAGAAAATTCTCCAATGAGGACATCTGTTCCTGTGATAATGCTAAAAAAAGGGGAATTCCCCTCACTTTGGAGACCTCTTATTTCCTGTTGTGTCTCCAGGACAGGAAGTGAAATCTCCCCAGCTGGACTTGGACATGAAAAAAACATGATGGGTCTTAATCCTCCCTACTCCTATAAAAAAAAAAGAAATTGGCACTTTTAGGCAGAATTCCAGGCCAATCAAAAGCTTTTCTAGAATCAATCTCAAACGGCAGAGCAGTTTATACTCTTAAGTACAACATATTAACACTTTTTTTCCCCCTCAATATCTGTAAAAGCTGCTAATGTTAAATGATGTAAATTTCTACACCAGCTGGGTAGATTAATTTTCTGTATGTGTTTTGAACTACTTTACGATCCGTGGGAGTTATTCTGTGCTTTTACAAGTCCAACTTCAACATTCTGAAGGGAAGGAGCCTCACAAGTTTTGAATATTTCTTTTTCTAACTCTTCCATAATTGTAGGACTGGGAGGCCCGGTAAAGGAATCTGGCTTGCTTAATAAAGCAGTGCAGAAGTAAAGCTCAGCACCTATAGCAAGTAATCATATTTTTTTACAAATATTTTTATCAAAGTTTTAGGTCCTATAAAACACACCAAACAATACATAAGAAAAGGTATGGGCTCTCACAGCCAGTAGAAAATCTAGTATCTGGATATAGAATTTTACAGCCAAACAATGAGTTCGTAAAAAAATGAAAGACATGGAATAAGCATAGCAACATCTAAAGTTGTATATGTGTTCACAATGGAGACAACAATACAAAAGGGGAGAGTGTTTGAGAGGGCGTCACCCACGGACCCCAAATTTTATCAAAAACTTTTTTTTTGGCTTCCCCCTCAGCTCATGTCATTTTGTCCAGTGGGAGGTTAGAGTTAACTAACTTTTATTCCAGCTTTCCAAAGAGGGGGCTGAGGGACCCTACAAAGTTAAAAGTAGAGATGCCCCGATACCTTTTTTTTTTTTACAAGACCAAGTACAAGTACTTTCTCTTAGGTACTTGCCCATACTAATTACCAATACTTTTTTTTAAGGGACATGTGACATTTAAAAAAAACAATACAGACTAATGATTTTAAGGCAGTTTCCCACCAAGGAGTACAGATCTCACCAGAGCTGCATGTGGGTCTCTCCAGGGCTCTGCGGACAGGTGCTGGGCTAATAGGGTGGGTGGTGAGCTGAAGGGGCACAGACAAGTAACAGAACACCGGCTCCAGGGCTACATGTGTGGTTTGGGGCTGTCCAGTGCTGTGTCTGTGCTGGGAAGAAGGAGGAGATGTGGGACCGGGCAGGCTACTGCCAGTTCCCCAGCAGGCTGCCTGAGGTCCCCACAAGATCAAAGGTTGTAAATTATTGGTAACATAGCTCTGTATATGGAGTTGAGCAAGTAATCATTTTACATGCTATGCTGGATTTCCTTCGGTAAACAGAATTGGTTGGTTGCTCTAGGTTCATATACATTAAACTTTAGCAGTTTGCACTGTTAACTGAATAAGCCTTAAAGGGTTTCTAAACCCTCAGCTTTTTTTGCATAGATCTACTGCTGCCAAGCAGTAGATCTATGCAAAAAGTTTTCTAAAAAAAAATAAAAAACCGCTTTAACAGCATTTTAAACTTACCTGTGTCTTCCCTGCGCGCTCCTGTCCGAAAATGTGAAACCGCTCGGGTGGCCGCAAAGCATCTTGGTGCGGGCGCATGCGCAGTTCACATTTTCGGCCGGGACGCGAGGAGAAACACCGGGTAAGTCTATGGACGCATGCACCCCCATGCAAACACCGTGGGAGAGGAAGCGCCAGAAATCGCAGAGGAGTCAGCACTGGATTGGAGACTTGCCGCAGTGCTGGAGAGAAGGCTGAAAACTACAGGAAAGAAGATGATCGGATTAAGAGACATCATTTAAGGTAAGTGCTTTCATTAATGTTGTGTTGAGGCAAAAATGTTTTGCCTTTAATGTCACTTTAACCTAATTTGCATTTTGGGGTCTCCTTTTCAACCTCCATTTGTCTCTAATTCTATTGGCACACTGCTCCTGTTTGTGTCTTCCCCGGCCCCTTTAGTCTGTGATGCTGTTGACACGATTCCCACCACCTCAACTGTCCCCAAAAAAACCTGCTACCGTTTTAGCTGTCCTGTTTCCTGGATGCTGATTTTTAACCTTCTATACCTCGCTCTGTAAAACCCTCTGTGTGAAGAGAGCGGCTCTCATGCTGCTGCTCTGTAATTATTTATAATGGGCACATTTCTCTAATCATGTAATTCACCTGTATTGCTATGACCATATTTTTAGGGATTTTGTTGCTAATTTTGAAGAGATCTCTAACCATCATTTTGAGTTAAAAGATTAAATGTTTCTACTGTCATACCTGCTACACTCTACTCCTATACATAATGCCTGTTGTCGTCATACCTTCACACACACTTCACTTAACATACCTTCACACATACCCACACCACACTCTTGCACATACTGCCCTCCTTCAAACCATACGCACTCCTCTCCTCCACATACTGCCCATGTCATACCCTACGCACTCCTCTCCTGCATATACTACCACTTTTATATCCTCAACCTTCCCCTTTCTGGAATGGACACACTTTTGCTAGTAAAATATAATAACTAGAGATGCACCGAAATTAAAAAAAATGTAAACACCGAAAATAAAGAAAAATAAAGTCAGACCGAAACTGAAATATTCTTTTTTTTCTAACCTTTTTTTTTTAAATTAAATTTATATATAT